ATAAACAACCATTCACATTCACTTTATTAACTTGTGTAAAGTCGGGCACCACTCGGGACAATTCAGAAATGCAACGGTTGGAACAGCCGCTTCCCGACGACTTGAATGCAAATTGTTTTTGTTTTTTTATTTGATCCTCCCATACATCATAAAGGTTGTCTGGTTGCCAAAGCTTTGTGGTAATACATTGGGGTTTGTTTGTTTTTTTCAGCCGATTAAAACAGCATGTGCGCAACTTGGACCTGGACATATTGGCCCCAAACCCAGGAAAGAAAAAGAAGGTATATTCACCTGTTTATCTCAAGTTAATGTAATTCTGTGAATTGAATTTTCAAAGTACAAACTAACTTTCATTTTATTTCTGGTAAAATAGTGTCTACCTACACAAAGATAACCAGTAAAGATATCTGGAGTGAGGAGGAAATGGTTGAGGGACCCCAGTATGATGATCTGGCTGACCCTCGACAACAACCTGAGTAAGAGCTCGAGTGGCTTTGTCTGGATTTCAAATAATTAACATTGCAACAAGCCATGGTGGCGCATATGAAAAAATCCATGGAAATTTCTCAGCACCTTGTAAATGGTGTGTTAAAAGTATTTAAATAAATAAATTTTTATAACAACAGCATAATCTCACATAAAAAAAATTTAAATCTAATCCTTAAAGTAAAAAAAAAAAAAAAGTTCAATTTAAGCAAATACTTAGGTCAAAAGCTTTAAAATTGTAGTGTTTCTTTAAAATAGTTTTTCTCACACATATTGACACTCATCACACTTAAAAATCATTGCTTTAAATTAAAGATCTAATTACTCATAACAAGCTTTCGGGGATGAATTATTAGTAATCCAATACTGCTTTTCTCTGGAATAAATACAATATGACACAGATACCAATTTATTTTACCACAAGAGCTACTAGGTTTGATGACTGTGTGAGACGGTTGGAAAAAAGAGATTTAAAATAAAAAGTCCAGGTAACTGTTAATTAATTGTCTCAAAGAAAGTGCTGCACCAAGTTTACTTTACATTGTTAAATGACACTCATGTTAACATCTGTTTAGATTTTTGTATCAATGAATAAAGAAATACAAATAAATGTTTCATTTTTCTTAATTTGTCAGTGTGCAAATATTTCTAGTACATTTTAAGGCTTTTTACACATCTTTACCTGGAAAGAAGGTGAGGCTGACAACACGAGCTCAGATAATGTGAAGTTTTAATGTCATGTCTTGTATGAATTTGTGCAGGTATGAAATTATATTGAAGCAGAATGTGGGAACACAGGACCTGTTCCTGGGCTTAAGTCGGAAGGACCCATCTTCAATGTGCTGTGAAGCCATGCTGGTAATTCATCAAACATCTTTTATTCAAGAAACTTTTTTACTATTGTTTTGGATTTGTTTTTTGTTTTTTTAGAAAACATACAGCCAGCATTTACTTAAAAAATGCATAAGCAAAATTCAATTACTATTAAATTGTTTGAAAGTTGGTTTGAATTGTTAAAGAAAAAACTAAATGAGCTATATTCTACTGAACTTAACTCACAGGGGAAAACAGGCCAGATGTGGAAAATATAAGTCCTATTAAAAGATGCATTGAAGCAGTCTTTTCCAAATGCCATGGTGCTGACATCATACATTTCCCTATTGATTTAATACCGTATATGGAGCACATCCAAAACAGTAGATCCAGGAAGTCTATGCAGTTTTGAAAACTATGGAATTTAATAATAAATTTTCTCAGGTCTGTGTAAGTATGGAAAAAGAAAGTGTATGAAAATATATTTCAGGCTAAATTTCCTATGATATTTTCTACGTTGTGGTCTTCCCTCATTTCTTACTTCTTTGTCTTGTTTTTTTACTTTTATTCCTTTTGTGCTTCCTTTATTTAACTACTTGCACTCCTGTGTCCTACCTCTGCTTCTCTATCTCTCCTACCTCCTTGTTTCCTTGCCTCCTTCCTTTTTTCTCTCTGTCTTTCCCTTCTTTCTGTCTCATATTTGTACATTTTATGCAAACATGTTAATATTTATAAAATTCCCGCCTCCTGTAATAAAACATGCAAAAAATAGATAAATATGTTGCACACCTCCATATTTTAGATCTTTTAACTAAAACTATGCGGCTATTAGCTTAAACAATCCTTATGTGATGGGGAAATAATTTTTAACTGTAAATATCAACATAAGCCATATAGGATATTAGAACTATGCAAAAAGGATAAATACTTTAATTTTATAGTGATGTGACTGATTAAGAAAATGTATTACTTTCACTTTTTTTTTAATTGCTCTTTTAGTGAAGCGTGTAATTAAATGACATAAAGCAATGTGTTTAAATAGCATAATTTCCAAAAGATGCTGATGTCTTTTTCCTCTTTTTAGGTGAAAATAAAACTACCCGACACAAAGGCAACATATATCATCTTAGATATAAAAGAGAAATTCCTGGATCTGCGGACACCAAAGTAGTAAGAGACCCTGGCTTTCAGTTTTGATCTCTTATTGAGCAGCTGCAGTTCAGACTAAGAGCTCGCCTCTTCAAACATTTCCCTTTAACCAGTGCTTCACATCATGACCTGAGCTTTGATTACTTCTTCAGCCAGCTCTTCAATCACTTTACATCTCTCCTACACTCTCTTTGTTTCTTTCTCCTGTCTCTTTTTTGTGTGTTTTTTAGTAAACTGGGCCTCCATCTGCCCCATCCCATCCAGAGTCAAGAGGGAAAGGCTCAGTTCTTCGGTGACAGACAGGAGCTGGAGGTGACTTTACTGATGAAGCGACCAATGGACTTTATCAACATGCAATAAAAAAGGAAAAAAGCAGCAAGATCTGAGATAAACCAATACTTTTATATATATATATATATATATATATATATAAGTAATCTCTGCCTTAATTGACCAAAAGGTGGAATAAATATGCTATCATACATCTAAATTTTATTCACTATGCTTTTAGTTTTTTTCAGAATTTAAAAGAATGCATGGTTAAAGTAGATGTTATAAACCTTTTTTTTTAATGAATCATCCTATGGAGGTATTTTAGAAGTAGTTGTAGAAATGGTATGACATTTTATATGCTTGCAACAATGTGCCTGAAGAATAAAAACCTGTAATAATTTTATTTTTATTGATTATTTTTTATTTCATTTTATCTACATTTTTAACTAATGTTGAGGCTAATGTTGTCAGTGATGAACACCAAAGTCTAATTCCTTGTTTGTATGGTAAGCTTGGCTGATAAATTAGATTTTTATTATTTTTTTAATTTAGACAGTAATGGTTTATCTTTTAGGAAAAGTGTTGTGTTTTAGATAAGTGATTTAGAAGTCACATGGTATTTGTTTGAAACAAAACAGCAAAATATGGAAAAATAAGGACATCCAACAACAACAAAAAAATAAATGAATAAATGAAACTTTCACCATGAGACAGCCAGACCAAATTTGCCAACATTTTTAATCTCTGCTTCAGCTTCACCTCCTACCAACAAACATGTCATGTACGGCACCCTATAGAAATATTTGGGAACCTTACCACAGATACACTTCATACTTCAGTGAATTTATTTGTTTTTTGATTGTTTTGATTTTTTTATGGCGAGAAAAATAAGTGCATAATTGTGATAAATGAAAAATTATTATTTTTTTTTTAGATGACTTTACAAACTGAAATAATGCAAACGTACAAATTGAAACCATTTAGCTGCAGTTGGAGCTCCAAGTCATCATTTTTCAAACTGAAATCTTTTTTTCATGGTTATGTCACAAAAACTACCTGATGATGAATAGAGAGCATCGTTGCACATCAGTTTTCAAGCCTCACAATTTCTCAGTGCATCCATTTGAACACATGTGAATGCTTTGATCTATTCAGTTTCAATTTAGTTCAGTTTATGTACATTGGGGCAATTCACAACACATGACACCTCGAGGCCCTTTACAGAGACAATTCAATCAGCTCATATAGATTGGTTTCTATCAAAGAAGTCCAAGTTGACTGCTTCGATTTGTTGCTAGATTCACTCCTGCTGGATCAGCATGTGGCGTCAGTAGGCCACTTGCATCAGCAGTCTGTCATGCCGAACATGCATGCAGCGACAGTAGGGAGGAAAAAAGTCCACCATAGCCACATGCTGCTACTTTCACCATGAGATACTATATTCAGATTGCTATACAGTGTTAGTTTTACAACATCAAACCAAATTATTATTATTGTTGTATTCATCATTGTAAAAACGAGATAATAAATATTGCAGCAGTAAAACGGTTATATTTGACATCATATTTCTACATCACACAGGCATAAAGTAGATATTATCAGAGAATAAACTTTTAGCATTATAACAACACATGCTCTTCTTTATTAACAGAGTCAATGGGTCTTAAACTTAATGGGGAAAAGTTCTGATGCTGTAGTTTAAAAAGCTTTTCAACCTCATACCCTGCAGCACGCCCTGATCACAGCACCTATTGGATGTCACAGTGATATATAAATAGTAACATTTCAGACATGTTTGTCCATCTAGTGCCCTACAGGTAAGAACCAGCATCTTGTGTTTTGGAGTAAAGGGGGAGTCAGTGTAACCCAAAAGGAGGTGCTGTGATAAGAGAGTGGCAGGGGTCTATGAGGCTTTGTACACTGACATTCTTGTGTGGTATACTAACCATAATCCATAGCAGAATATCTAGAGTTGAATTATGTTGGGTAGATACAGATTGGAATTTAAAATAATAATTAATAGAAAATAGAAGCACAAATAAATACATGCTGCAAATTATTGGGACTTGTCCTCTGCTCCTTTATATTGCTAAAAAGATGTTGTGTGTATAAGCATGTTCATTAAGCAGAGGACAATGCTGTGGTGGGGGAAGCAAATTTATAGTCAGGATTGCTCCTCTGGCTGGGGGAAGCTTTATTACTTAGTTGTAACTGTAATTTCTAATTATTCATGGTTTGAAGTGAATTTGGACGAGTTGCTGTGTCCTCTGTCAGCACATATCCATCCATCCATCCATCCATCCATCCATCCATCCATCCATCCATCCATCCCTTTTCTGTCATGCTTATCCCAGGCGGCTTTCGCGAGGTCATTATAAGAAATCTATTTAGTACACCACTGGAAAAACTGATACAAGAAATGTTAAGATTGCTTAAAATAAGTGCAATTCCCTGTAATTTGAGCAAGAAAATAAGATGATCTACTAAATGAATTAATATTTTTGCCTTTAATACAAAAGACTTAGATGCTCTTGAATTACAATAAAGCTGGGCATACACTGTGCGATTTGTTTTAATCGTTGCACCCAGCTACCTCTCACACTGTATGACGAAACCCTGTGGTTTCGTCGAACAGTGTGAGAGTGAAACACGCTGCCTTGGCAATTTGTGCAATTTTGTGCTGAAAGCCCTAAAAAAAAAAAAGAGGCAACTATGTATTTGGACAAAGACATGGCTGAGCAAACGTGGCTACGATTGTCTGTCAATTTTACAGAAAGAACTCCATTTCACTCGCACCCCTGCCATGCTGCTGTGTTTTCATCTGAGAGGAAGAAGAAGAAGAATCCTTGTTTGCGCACTCAGTGATTTGCCCACGATGGTCAACTAAAAATATAAAAAATTTTTGATTTTCCCCCGGCCTCACGTTTCCTGATCAGGAGGTCGTTGTGAGAGGCTGATCACCCCTCGTTACTCCCTATACACTACAGGATGCACAATCAGGCTGAAAGTCGGGCTGATCAGAAAATTCTCTCATGAATCCCACAGTGTACACCCGGCTTAAGGAAGTTATTTTGTCTTTTTTTAAAACATAAATATTGTTCTATTGGAAAACTGTCTCAGTTATCTGCTCAAGCAAAGGTAAAATGAACTCAGTTTTAAGAAAAATAACGACTTTCTTAGATTTCCTTTTATGCTGTGTATGTTTTCAGTATATTTTCAGGACTAGAACAGGGGCCAGGACCAGCTCTACAGGGGCACTGGCCCCGTTGGCCCTTTTCAAGAACCGCCCATATGGAAAGACTCTAACTGTAATAATTGACTCTATTAACTTAAAAATGGTGTTTTATTTCATATATATTTCAGAAATCGTACTACTGGAGGTAAAAAATAGAGAGAGTTAATAATAAATGGCTATTTAAAGGCTAAACAATGGCTGTCCTCCTTCCGGGCGCATCTCTCCCAGGATCGCATCAGGAGAGCGGTGCCACACCCCCCCGGGCTCCGTTACCGCATCACGAACGGTGCTGGCGGACTGGGTGGGTGTGATCATGTGACGACTCATTTCCGAGACAACAATACAACACCGAATCGGTCAGCAACGTCTCTCCTGCTCTCTCACCCCCTACCTGCGCCTCGCTCTCGGTATGGCGGACGGCGAGAGGTCCCCGTTACTCTCAGATTTGGGGGATGGCGCTCTTGGAAGCGGTAACGGGGGGGTTTCTCCCGGCGCTGGGTCCTATAGTGTACCCAACAAACCAGAGAGTGAGTATGCACAGTGTCCATCCTCAGTCCAGCCTCTGTTAGCCTAGCTTAACACAGCCTCCTTCACTGACTGGGCATTACAGTTAGCCCGTTAGCTCTGTCATTTCCACTAACTGTACTAACTATTTTAATGTTTCTGGTGCAGAATTTTGCGAATGCTTGTTAAACCACATTTATTCACCACATTCTCTCAGATAAAAAGGTTAGTTTTATAGTATTTACATAAATATTTGTAAACCAAGTAGCCGTTGTATTCTTAGCCTAAAAGATGCTAGCTCTTTCTTGCGTCTGTGCTACTGTGCTTAGCTTAACGGCTAACAGATAATAATGACACCATGAAAATATCTATGTTTATGGACTTTGGGTGAAATAGAATAGCTTATTCTGGCTAAATGTTTTCACTAGTTATGTTATTGTAGGAATTGCGAGGGTCTGGCTAGCATCCTAGAAACACCTGATTTGATTGACAGGAGGAAGTGACTACGGATGCTGCGGAGGGATGCTGCATCCAATCCCACTTTGCATGTAAAGCGTTTACTACAAAAGAGAAGATATTCTTCTTCTAACTCATCACTTAGATTTTTCTAAATAAATAAAAAGAATTTAAGTAGATAAAGAAGCAGACAGAGTTGCGTATTTTAGGTGATTTCTAGGCTAAGCTGTCCTTAACACTCTGGTTTTAGCTTTTGTAAATACTCCTGTGTTGAAACCAGCCCTGCTCTGCATTCCTAAAGTGTTTTTCAACTAAAGCTCCTTTCTGCTGAACGCCAGACTTAATCGCATTATCTCGTTTGTTGTAATGGGTTACTTGTTATGAGAATTGAAGGTTGTTGGGTTTTTTTTTTTTTCAATGCACTGCACCACTCCTGTAACCTCCAACAACTAGAGCTTTTGTTATATTATTACTTTCATATTTTTTATTCTGCTCTTGTTCAGGCTTCCCCCCTTTCCCCAGTGCCAGTCAGCCTTCAGTGCTCCTAGGGGAGGACCCTCCACCCTATTCCCCACTCACCTCCCCGGAGAGCGGAAATGCCCCTGTTATCAGCTGCAGAGTATGTCAGAGCCTCATCTCGGTGGAGGGAAAGATCCACCAGCATGTGGTGAAGTGTGGGGTTTGCAATGAAGCTACGGTGAGTTTATGAAAAAAAATAATGTATAGCTAAAGTAAAAAAAAAAAAAAAAAAAACTTCACCTATAAAAAGAAGCAGACACTATTAGATCCTTAACACAAACAATTTTAAATCTAAGTTTACTACTGATCTACAGAAAAGTAATCAGATTTGTGGTTCATAACAGTTCTTAAAAAGGGTGTATTTACAACTCTGTCTACATCATTACTTTTTTTATGAATATCCTTCCCTATTAATCCATATCCATGAACATTTGACTAAATGTTTCTATAATTTTCTAAAACTGTCCTGACAAATATGTATTAAAATAAATTACCAAGTTTGGTTAAGTAATAAAAATAAAGCCTAGTATGGAAAAACATTTTAATTTCCACACTTTTTTCTATCCTATTCTGTAAAGGCTGTATTCATTCATTCATTCATTCATTTATCCATCCATCTCTCTACCTTCCTGCCAGCATTGCTGATCCTGCTGGACCTCCTTCAAAATATTTCAGCATAGTTTTACATAAGCTGCTTATTGTTTAGCTCTTGTTCAGCTCATTTCCCCTTGTTTGCAGAGGGCTCGCACAAACTATGGGAAAGTATTCAATTTAATTCTACAATTTTTTTTTTCAGATCGAACAGAAAAAAAAATAAAAGAAGAAAAAAATAGTATTTAAAAATGGAAATTATATGTTTTTACATAAGTACTGCTGGGTCATGAGAGCTCACAGCAGTTATGGGGAAAAAACAACACTGTTTCATTTAAGTAGGTATAGTGACAGAGGGAGAGCGGTGTTATTCGCTATTATTCTGTTATAATACGTTAGGTTTGGAGTTTAAAAACTCATGAAAAACAAATAAATTATGAAATAAACAAAAAAATAACCTAAAATGTATAGAATGCATTGCAGTGTTGGTTCTGGTCAGTAAAGATATTTGTTTTGTAGAAGTTTCTACTGTAGCATCACTTCAGTACTTAGAGCCACACTTAAAGTGTGGGAAGGGGGCATTGAAACCTCCCTGGTGTAGAAGTTGACCTTTTTAGTATCCTTTCTTTTTTCCTTCTTTATGTTTTCCTCTTCTTCCAACCTCCTTACCTTTTGCCTTGTGCCGTTTCTTCCTTCTTTCTTCACATTCTTGCAACCTTCCTTAACTATGTCCTCCTTCCTTTTCTTGATTTGATTCATCATTCTCTTTGTAGCTCTTTAGAATAATTTAGTCATGTTACGTCTTACAATCTGAGGATTCTGCTAATCCATCCATTTTCTGTCTCACTTATCCCTGGTGGGGTTGCGAGGGGTTCTGGTGCCTCCTCGACAGGTCGCCAGACCATCGCAGGGCAACACAGTGACAAACAGAAAAAACAACCATTCACACACACACCTAAGATGGTTTAGAGAAGCCAATTAGACTAACATTCATGGTTTTTGGACTGTGGGAGAAAGCCGGAGTACCCGGAGAGAACCCACACATGCACAGAGAGAACATGCAAACTCCATGCAGTAAGATTCTGGGCCGGGAATTGAACCTGGAACCTTCTTGCTGCTAGTAGCAGTGCTACCCACTGCTTCATTGTGCAGCCCATGGTATTGTGCGTATGTGTTTCCAAATTCTCCATAGAAAACAACTGCACAGCTAAACAGTCATTTAATATTTACTGTGTAAAGGAAGATAGAATCAAAATCAGGAGGAACACTATGAGATGATGCACAGGTCCTAACGGTTAGAACAACAATTTTATATTTCATCTCCACCTGCTGACAGTTGAGCCTCTCTCCCTTGAATTTTTACCTAAATATAATACATTGATTGATCCCCTACCATTCAATTCGTGATTAGAACAAACTATACCAGGCATTTTGATGCCTATTAGTTTGTCTGAATATATATTTCTGATATCTGAAATAATTTTTTTTCCTTGTCATAATTAGCATTTGAAACAACATTATATTCTTCCTATCGAAATAAATCATTCTGGAAAGATCTCTGTATTCCTATTGTTACTGGCCTAATTTGTATTATTTTGACTTGGAAGAATGTATTTCAGATACCATAAATAAATATTCAGTCAAGCTGATAAATGTCAAAACAGCCACTTAAAATATGTAAACGTTTCTAAGTATATAAGATATAAGTCTTACTAGTACCATTTTTTTTTACTTTCTGAAATTAATTTTCTGCTGCAAAAATGTAATTGAGAAAATCTGTTTTTACAGCTCCGACTAGGAATTTTTGATCAGAAAGAATTCTATTTTTGTGATCTACAAATGGAGCAGCAAAGAAACATAATTTTGATAAATGTTAAAACGGCCTGCCATAGCGGACTTTATATAAACCTATGCATTAACTTGAGCAGCAGTTCTTTTCCTGGACCGTCTTCCTCTGCTTTGCAGCTTTAGAGCTTTTAAACACATTCTCCATTTGTTTTTGTTTGTTTTTTTCATTTCTACATTAGAGTCTCTAGTTCCTGTTGTTACGAACATGTTCAACTCTGAGTGGACCAGCTTAGAGTTTATTAAATTAGCTCACTGCAACCTTAGACTAGATCAATTCAGAGTTGAGTAT